CAGCAAAAGCAGTCGTCAATTGTTCGTTACAGTGAGGCGATCACCGCGAAAGACTCACGACAGAAGCCGCAAGGATTCGCAGCAAAAGCAGTCGTGAATTGTTCGTTACAGTGAGGCGATCACCGAAAACGCTCACGAGAGAAGCCGCAAGGATTCGCAACAAAAGCAACCATCAATATTTCGTCAGGCGATCACCGCAAAAGACTGACGAAAGAAGCCGCAAGGATCCGCAGCAAAAGCAATCGTCAATTGTTCGTCAGGCGATCGCCGCAAAAGACTCACGACAGAAGCCGCAAGGATTTGCAGCAAAAGCAGTCGTCAATTGTTTGTTTCAGTGAGGCGATCACCGCAAAAGACTCACGACAGAAGCCGCAAGGGTTCGCAGGAAAAGCAATCGTTAGTTGCTCATAAATGAAGCGATTGTGACTGAAACCAACCAATAATATTTGGAGTAAGAGATTGGAGAAAACCTTTTAGCAACACACAGAGAGCTTTAGACCCAGGTAGACCGTTTCTAAGTGTTCACCAATAGTCCTTTGGAGGCAAGAGTCATGGGTACATTCGACTGAACAAACTCTGTCAGAGTCTTGTGGCAAGGTCCGTCTGCGTTATCGTAAACATCGACAGAGCCATTTAATCCTGTGAAATGGAACATCTTAATAAAGTGAGATATAATTTATACGTACACTGGATTTTTTCTAGTAGTCGTGAACCGTGATTTTCCAAAACGTTCTTTTTTATTTTCCGTGAAGCGTCAAATCCCAATATTATATCAGTTTTCTTGAATTGTGGAATGGCCTTTTCATTTTCCGTGAAACGTGATCTATACCCCCAATCACCCTCTCTACTAGTCGACGAACTGAAACGACGCTTGCAATTTCGTGTGGTTCCTGTGCACATACTGGGGGTCCTGTGTATAGAACTTATGCAAAAATGGTCGTCATTCATATCTGTTCTTTGGTGAAGTTTCTTAAAACGCTGATGGCGACACTTGAAAATGTATGGAATAACATGCCAATCTAAGAAGTTTCAGTGTTTGGCGTTTCTGGTAAATTAAATGGCAGCAGATTTGTGACTCATTCAAATTTAAGAGATTTGTATGGAAAAAGCTATCCTGGAGGCCTTGCCTGCCTAGGTCCTGTAACTTCCCATTAGAAAAACGTATAGCCTTTAATTTAATTTTGTTGAAAAATGATTCTTCTGGGAGCCAAAATTAAAAGGCCGCCATATTTGCATTGGTTCTATACTAGGGGAAATTTTGGTGGAAGCAAATTACCTCGCTCTTATTTTATCGACGTCGATTTAGTGCGCGAACACACGTGGACCTGCCGCACACGACGTGGACTTTCACTGCCGCTTCGATTTGTACGGTTACCTTGCTGTCGGTAAATTAAATTTTGCTTACTTTCCTTTCAATTTAGTCGTAACGTTGTTGAAATTGGCTTACCAAAGTCTTTCAATAGGAAGGTGTGTGCGACGTCTGTTGAATTCATCAAATATGGATTTGTCGTTTTGTTGTCAACCTTCTTACCTTCGATGACTAATGGCCATGCTGTTTTGGTGACTCAAACAAAGCGCGCGCGTCCTGATCAGCCATTATACTCAGCAGTCATTATATTACGCAACATGACCACAACCTGCGGTCATAAAAGAAGTCCGGCTACCGAGTTGTTTTTTATCTCGGCGGTAAATGTGCCACAAAAGAAATCTATTGACACTACAAATCAGTCGAATTGTTTTCAGGCTCTGCGGCTATTGCGCCACTCTATGATGTGTGATTTTGACACATGCCAGGTATAAATGTTCGTGGTATAAATGTTCCCACGACACACAAGTTGGTTATATCTCGCTGAATTCATATTCTGTCAAATTTAAACTTCGCTAGCATTCTTATTTTGTGACATTTTTTAGCGCCTTAACGAGCAGGCACAGCCAAGTATGTGTAATTACTCCTGATGCGCGGATTTTGTAGCGGAGAAGCTCTAACAAAAGACTAACAGCGGGCGCTTATTTAGCGTCCAACGCAGACCGCATTCTTTTGGCTCGTCACGCAATCTTTCTTGGGAGGAAAGAACGTCTGCGTAGGTGGCCAGCCTTACTTTGCATCTCGCAAACTCTTGCATACAGCTCTATACCGTGAAATGTAACCTAGATTGCGGGAAATAGTTTATTTTTACTATGAGATACCGGAACCGGACAGCAGACATTCCTAGTTGAGAAACACAAATAAAGTTAGAACAAAAAATAATTTCCGTGAATAATACTTATCCTTAGAGAAATAATTGTTTGAGCATCGTAAAATTGTATACGACTGTCGAGCTCCATTGAAGATAAAATACAGCCACAAAAGGGGTCGTTCACGAAGTTAATATTAAACATAATCTTAAAAATAAATATTAATTGAAGACCTTTGAAGGCACGGCGCTGGTTTCCATGATACTTTCATCAGTTGTGTTAAATCTTGTACAGTGTGTCCTTTCTGACAAAGTATCGAGGTTACGGTTAGTTAAAATTTACTGTGGGCCAAAGAGACATAAAATGTCGACTACATCTGACTGCTTCCGGATAGGATTTAAGGAAAAGCCTAACGCAAGTCTGGGCGAACGCTTTAGAGCCGTCGGCATGTGTTATTATGGCTCCGGACAAGACCTGGTCAGAGGAAAGACTTACAAACTGGAGAGAAATTCATCCAACATTAAGGACACAAAATGTATCGAGATAAAACAACATGGCCAAGTCAGAGCCACTCTTAATGCCAAAGTCGCAAACCAGCTTGCATCTCTAATGGACAACAGCAAAGTCTGGGACGCCACGTGGTAAGCTCAGTTTTCTGTAGATTTTTGTAGTAGTTGAGGGTTGAAGTTCTGGGATAATTAAGGCATTAACTTCAGGGATGTCAGGCATTAATTGTGCTTACTTTTGCTTGTTCTATAGCAACGTGTTAGAAGATTCCAAGTGGAGCCGAGGAGATACAGGAAGAACAGCCAAGGCACATAAAATAATCGTCGAGTTCACATTGCATGCCAAGGATATGTCATTTGTCAAAGAAAATCTTAAGATACACGATGTAAGTTCGAGTTAATATATAGGTTCGCAAGAGGTTCATTTGTCAATTTTTTAATTCTTTCCATTGTGTATAGAGATTAGAGGGAAGCCACAGAGAAAACTGATAAAATATAATTTTTGTATCATAAAAGAGAAGCCACATTGTAAAGTGATCAATAAAAATCATATCATGACAGGTCTAGCTCATTTAACATATTATTATGTTTGTTTCGTGGCAGAATAGGAAAAAGAGGGAAAGTAAAACCATCCATTTGCCAGTTACACTGCTTTTGCTGTATCAATATTCAAACATCTTTTACCTATTAACAACTCGAAGGCAGCAATTTCTTAATTTCTGTGAACAAAAATCAATAGCTAAAACGCATCCGGCCGCTCGTGTTGTGCCGTCCTTTTCTTTTACCTTGAATTTCCCATAGAACCACAACGCATCTGGCCGCACGTGCCGTACCGTTGTCAGTTTTCTTCACCGTGATCAACGAGAGCTAAAGGACGTAGAATTGTAAAAAGACCAAAATTCTGTAATAAATTCAAAAGGTCAACATTCTGTCAATTCAGAAGGTCATAATTTTGTGAGCCAAGAACATCCGGACAAGGATTTGGTGGTTTTGACCTTGTCAAAACGCGTAATTTGGAACACAACCCCTTTTGTTTACGGTCATGTCTTTAGGCAGTGTCAAGTTTCTCATGGGTCAACTTATTATCTCCTGACGTTCCAAAGGTCATTTGCTGTCTTTTGTTAACATGATCAGTGTGATCTCGGATCATAACCCCTGCTCCAGATCACCCCAAAGGAATTCGCCCCACTGGCCTTGTGTTTAGCGAGTGAAAATGCCAAAAAAAGGAGTTTTCGCCTTTACGCCCGCCCAATAACACAGGCGACAGATGCCTGCCAAATAATCTGTCAAAATTATTATCCAGACGTTGCGTTTTTTGGTCAAAGAATTTTAAACTGGCAGAAGTATTCATTTCGATATAAAGTTCATCGATAGATCATTCATTACACGGCTCTGTTTAATTCACGGCACTAGCGCGCAGAATGAAACCGTTGCCTCAACTGGTAGGTCAACGACAAGTTCAAATGGAAACAATTTTTGATCGCGTTTATTACCGGAAATTCATTTGCTTGGCGCAAACAAACACATCGCGCGTTATGCCTGTCAAATTATACTTTAGCGATATTTTCCGGACACTTGCTTAGTAGTTTAATATTTTACTTTTTACAATTCTAAGACAGTATTTTCAAAATGACAAACGATCGCGCGTTCTGTAATCTTTCGCTGATTTCTGTCTAACCAATTCTTTAGGCTTTGAAAGATCGTCCAATTCCTGGTACGGAAATTCAATTATTACATAATTATACGCATGGGTTATTACACGCAGAACCAACAACAACAACAACAATTTATTGGTATTCCCATATAGATGGTGTTACCTAAATGCAGAATCGCTAAATAAAAATTCAAAAAACAAAAAACAAAAAAACCGAAACAAATTACAACAGCAACCAGAAAGAAAAATAAAAATAGTTAGTTACAAGATTCTTCATTTTAAGT